TCGTATTTCAGATATATGTACTATAAAGTATCAATTGGATCGAGGTGGACAGGAGGGTATATCGAGAAACTCCCACTTGTTTGTGCAGTATAAAGTTCACTGTAGGTGCCGTGCGCTAGAGATTCCGCTTAAGTCATTCAACGAGTGTGGGTCATTCTACTAGTGTTAAGATAGTGACGTGGTTCTGTTCTTTGTTGTAATTCTTCTAGTGCAGGCAAGGAGGATTGGTGTTGCTGAGAGGCTGCCCTGTGTTACATTGAGATAAGTAGTGTTGCTGTTGGTTTACATATTTTGGTGTTATCATGTAATTACGTACCTCGCGTTACACTGGTGTGTGATTGTGGCGGAGACGTGTTACGGTGTGGTTGAACTGTAATCTCACTATACTGAATGTATAGTGCGTTACGTTGTCTTATTACTGATAATGATTAAACTGCGTAAGCAAGAGAGCAAGTTGAACATTCGCTCTCACACTTTTATTATTCTTAACAATTAATGCTATCCTGATGTATTTCCGAGGTCAAAATTGGAATCCTCTGTTGTAATTCTCCGACATCAGGAGTGGGATCTCCTGTTGCAATTTCTTGATATATATTATGATTATGATAAAGATAAGTTGTATTTGTTAACTAATTCTTCACTGATACTCGTAAGTACCACTAATGTGATATGGAAGAGTGACTCCTTCTGACACAGGTGCAAATGCACTTAAAATAATAAGTCAACCTATGTACTAGATTTAAGACAAACCTTGTTAAAGAAATAAACTTTTATTTTATTCTTTTATTTTATTTTATACCATTATTAAAAACATTTAGATTATTAAAACATTATTAAAGTCATTAGAACATAAATTTTACATCTGTAGTATTGACGCAACATAGAAAAAATCAAATTTTACAAACGCGTAATACACAAATCCCGATAATTTATAGCCCTACATACGAAATAACATTAGAATTAGAAGCATCAATGCAGGTTAAAGTAGATGACACAATAGTTTTATCAGACTCTTCGGAAATATTAAAATATAATTAGGTAGGTTCTACCAAATAAGTCATAGTAGCTCAGCTATAGGCTGAGCTACCAGACTTAGCATCCAACTCCGCTTTATGTTTGATACAAATGAAAATGCATATGACACTGACCCAAGCTAGTTCCCAGAGCCTTACTTTATACTCCTAGAACGAGTGGAGCTTTCGATATCTACCGTCCCTTCCGTTTGTCTCTTTATTTTCTACCATAATCTATAACATTTATTTTATTTTCTATTACATATATAACATGACATAAACACTCATGTCACTCACACAGGTGGGTAGGCAGAGACTATAGACTTCTATTTGGCACGACCTTGATAACTCACTCTCCTTCTTTTCATCCATATACCTACGTATTAATGCCCGTCGGTTGAGAATACATTTTATCTAGCCCATCTTCAATATTGGCCTATCTAGTGCCGTGTAGTGGCGGTTAAGAGTATCCACTACTCCATTTCTTCCCGTGGGTGTTGTAAGAGGCGACAATGGTAAACAGGCAAGATATGGGCAGCAGCATCTTCCTGATGACAGCAAAATTTCAATAAAAAAACTGCGGTTGCCAACCCACTCGCCAAGCGTGGCAACTATTCCAAATACCCCCCCCCCCCATGATTAACGTAACAAAGAGACGGCCCCCAGTCCCCGGCTATTCCTGGCTACGGTTGCGACCATGGTAACGGCGGGGCAGGGGGTGCTAAAAATCTCCGGTGGAGGTTCGTTTGCCACCTAAGACGACTCGACCTGGCAACATACAACGCACGCACCCTGAGGACTGACGAAAAGATCGTGGAGCTGGAAGAAGAAATAGACAAGTTACGCTAGTATATTATAGGATTATCCGAGGTCCGAAGAGTGGGAGGACACGGTAATCCTCGAAGCCGGCAATCTCCGAGAGGGCGACCATCTGTCCCAAGGAGGTGTCGGATTTATCGTCCACAAGTCTCTCGTTAACAACGTTGTAAAGATTGAGTGTATCGCCGAGGGTTGCGTACCTTATACTCAGAATCACCAAACGGTATTCGCTGAAGGTCATACAAAACTAGGCACAAGAGAGAACGGTGAGCTGAAAGTATGGAAATTTGGAATAGGGCAACGGAACCCAAGGTGCCAGCAGCTGGCCGACTTCATGGAGAAAGAGGCTCTTTATGATGAACTCTTTCTTCCAGAAGCGGCACCACAGGAAGTGGACCTGGTCGAACCCCGGCGGTTCGACAAAAAAAATTAGATTGACTTCATTATGAAAACTGGTAGCGATCATCGCATGGTTAGAGGCACACTGAACCTAAACGTTAAGTTGAGGAGGTCTCGTCTAATGAAGTCAACACTCCGTCCCCCTCGTGCTCTATTCCAAAGTACCGAAACCTTTCAGCTCAAGTTAAAAAACATTTTTCAGTACCTAGAAGACTGCAATGAAGTGGACGATATGAATGACAAGCTTGTGGAAACTGTCCATGCGGTCGGAGCTAAGTTTTGCAAGACCCGCCGCAGAAGAACACAAAAACTCTCCGATCACACTCTTAATTTTATGGCTGTTAGACGGGAGATGAATCTGCAGTCTTCAACAGATTTGACAGCATACAGGCAACTGAACAGACAGATCTCAAAATGCATACGGCGGGACTTTCGCAACTTCAATTAAGCTTGTATTGAAGAAGTGATCAAGCGGAACCAAGGCTCCAAAGTCTTTGCCAGAGATCTGTCTGCCAGAAAGAGCCATCTGTCAAAGCTGATGACCGAGTGTGGCAGCAACGTTTCCGGGACACCTGAGATTTTGAGTGAGATTTAGAGGTTCTATGGGCATCTGTACACGTCATCATTGGAGCCACACGCAAGTGTGAGTAACGATCCAAGAGCGAGTCTTACCCAACACTATTCCGATGATATCCCAGACGTCAGTCTGAGCCAGATTAGAATGGCTCTCCAGCACCTTAAAAACGGAAACTCCCCGGACGAGGATGGAATTACAGCGGAGCTTCTGAAAGCGGGGGAAAAACCAGTACTTGAAGTCCTTCAGAAGCTCTTTAATTCCGTCCTCCATGGTGGCATTACACCGGAGGCGTGGAGCAGAATTGCGGTGGTATTGTTCTTCAAGAAAGGTGACAACGCTCTCTTGGAGTGTACAGATCGATTTCCTTTCTGAGCCGTGTCTACGTGCTGTTTTCTAGAGTCATTACGAATCGTCTCGCACGCAGACTTGACGACTTCCAGCCTCCCGAACAAGCCGGTTTCTGAAAAGGCTTTAGTACCATGGACCACATACACACCTTTCGGCAAATTGTACAGAAGACAGAAGAGTATAATCTACCACTATGTGGACTATGAGAAAGCCTTTGATTCCGTCTAATTTGGGCGGTACTGCAGTCCCTTCAGCAGTGCCAAGTTGACTGTCGGTATAGCGAAGTGTTGAAGTGTTTGTACAGTAGTGCTACGATGGCTATCCGAGTACAGAATCAGAGTACGAAACGTATGCAGCTGCAGAGAGGTGTAAGACAGGGTGACATTATATCCCCGAAACTCTTCACCGCTGCATTAGACGACGTTTTCAAGCTACTGGACTGAAAAGGATGCTGTATTAACATCAATGGCGAGTACATCACTCACCTGCTGTGCTGACGATATAGTCCTTATGGCAGAATCGCTGGAGGACCTAAGCACTATGCTCAATGCCCTCAATAGTGTCTCCCAACGAATATCATGTCCATGTCACGCCTATGCCGGTAGTTGTTGGGAGCACTAAGCTCGAAATTGTTGACGAGTATGTTTACCTGGGACATATAGTCCGACTAGGTAAGTCCAACTTCGACCGAGAGATCAATCGACGGATTCAACTCGGCTGGGCAGCGTTCGGGAAACTACGACACATATTCTCGTCAGGTATACCTCAAAACCTGAAAACGAGATTGTACAACCAGTGCATGTAGCCAGTGATGACATATGGATCTGAGACGTGGTCCTTCACTGCTGGCCGTATGAGTAAGCTCAAGGTCGCTCAGCGAGCTATGGAGAGGGCTATGCTCGGGGTTTCTCTGCGTGATAAACTTAGAAATGAGGATATCCGCAGTAGAACCAGAGTAACCGGCGTAGCCCAAAGGATTAGTAAGCTGAAGTGGCAATGGCCCGGCCATATAGCTCGAAGAACCGACAACCAATGGGGAAGAGCCTCGTACCGGTAGGCGTAGTGTAGGGTTACCCCCCACTAGATGGAGTGACGACCTGGTAAGACATATATTAAGTCGATGGATGCAGGTGATTCGGGACCGTGCTTTGTGGCATTCCTTGGGGGAGGTCTATGTTCAGCAGTGGACTTTTGAAGGGCTGTTATGATGATGATGACGATGATCTTCAACATATTGCCAATTTGTTCGATAAAATTTCGTCTATAGCGTCCTTTGCCAACTCTGCCGTTCATTTCTGCAACATAAATTTGCTTTGTCACTATTTCCTCATTCATTATTTCTACATGACTAAACCACCGAAGCATTCCTTTCCTAATCCTAGTCACAACATTATCTTGCAAATTGCACACTTCTCTTATCACACAATTTCTCATCCTGTCATTCTGATTCAGCCTTAACATACACTTTAATGACCGCATTTCTACGTCATTTATTCTTCATAATACAGATTATTTATTTTATATTTTTCTACCCTCCCAATAAAACAAAAATCAACATAATGGATTTGACAAATAAAACAAACTTCTGATGTACATATATAGTGATATAATTGTAACTTTTTCTTACAATCTAAGAGAAAAAGAAAACTAATCCAAGAACAAATTTAAGGAATTCAAAATCACCGATTACATCAGTATTTTTGTAAATTAATTTTTATTTAAATATAATTCCCTGAATACATTGCATTTGCTTTTACTGGCTGTAAAGCACAACTTCACTTGTAGTTACAAAATTCAGTATTTAATATTGCTAAGAATTCAGGGCTCGCAATATAATGTCACGTTTATTCGCCAAGTTCCTTGTTGAGCAAGCGTACGTAGTCGTCATACTGCGCCAGGTAGAAATTGCCGGCGACTGGTTTGCCAAAGTTGTATTTTTCCGCAAATTTTGCAATCGAAAAACCCAAGCGCCCGTCTGGGGAACTGTAATCAATTAGTTATAGTTAAAAAATCAAATAATTTGCATAGCCCGTTAATTATAAAATTATTATTAAAATTAAGTCTTAGTCTTACATTTTGATCCTCGTCGAATGTAATAAAATTGTTAATTGCAACATTAATTAACATAGATACGCGGGTGGGTGTAAATAAGTGCAGACGTGTTTCGTTTCGTAAAACGTATTTATTTTAAAAAAGAAGTAATTTACCATACTTTTATTATTTTTCTATATAATACAGTATTAAGCATCAACGTGTAAAGGTTTACCTTCTTATGCACTAGTTTTTTTAGCACTGCACAAACTGCTGGAACCAAGATTTTTTTTTACACACGAACAGTTGTTACTACATACGTCACTATGTCCACAATTGCCGATATTTCCAGAAGTCAGGAGTCTTTGGAAGCGCTCATCACCCGTAAAATGGCAGATTTTGAATCAAAACTCAACTCCAGCGCTCCCAAGAGTAGCAATGTAGACAGGATCAGCGAGGACTATACCGCTTTTCAGAGTTACGTCAAGGATATGTTTAACCTTCTTCGCCAGCAAATTGCAGAAGTCAGTCGCTCGCTTGACATTATAGAAACAAGGCATCGCAGGAAATTCCTTTTAATGGGCGGTGTCCCTGAAAAACCAGGCGAAGATTTATCCGAAGTCGTGATCAAAATTTTTCACGAAAATCTAGGTCTTAAAGATATAGCACCATCTTGTCTTCGAGCAGCATACAGACTTGGCCCGGTCAAATTACACCATACTCGTCCTATATTAATGCGCTTCACAGATATGTCACTGCGCTCAACTGTTTGGTTTAAAAAAACAATGTTAAAAGGCACCTCGTTTAAATTATCGGAATTCCTTACAAAATACAGGCAAGACTTATTTTTTCAAGCCCGTAAGCATTTTGGAATTAAAAAAGTCTGGTCATTTGAGGGCAACATAAGCGTTAGACTGCCTGATGGGTCTCGACGTCACATCTTTAGCGCTAATGACCTGGATGCACTACTGCGCGATCTTCATAAAGCTGGGTGCAACGAGGAGCCGGAACAAGTGAAGGCAGGAACTAGTAGTGTAGTTTCCCGTAGCGAGAAGCCAAGGACCCGACGAGCATTCAAAAATAAGTAAACATTCTCGGGATAGTGGTAATACTTTGTTTACACTTCGACGGCTTATTAATTACTACCACTGTTGTGTGTACTGTGTACGTCACTGAGCGCTTTTGTATTCGATCCTTTTGTTCTCCGCAACCGGTTATTAGGCTGATTTGCGACACAAGTAATAGTACAGACTAATCTGAACCTTAAATTTCGTGAAATTACGCATTAGAGTATTTTTTTTTTCTCGTTTAAATTACCACTTCTCGTAGTGATTAACATATGTTTTTTTTTTCCTTCTTTTTCAATACGTATGAGTTTTATTGTCTATGCAATTGTAAATAATTAAAATTAGATACTTTCTTGTAGTAAGTATTCCTTGTTGTTTTCGTGTAATATTTTAATTTTTCTTTTTGTAAACAGTTTACCGGCGCGTTTGTTTGCAGTGCAATTATCAGTTAATAGGGTTTTTTTTTTACTATATTTTTAGACATATATCATAAGTATAATCATATATTATGACAGATTCTGATACCAATGAACTATTTCTCTCTGCTGATTCAGATTCTTCTTTCTTTTCACTAAATGACTCTTTTTCGGAACCTACTACTCTTCGTTATCTGCTTACTCAAAAGTTTCATGGTTTGACTAATAACTTTAACGTTTGTTACATTAACGCTCAGAGCATTCCGCAACATTATAATGAACTTGTTGATACTTTTCATAATCAGTCTATTTCTGCGATACTTGTTTCGGAAAGCTGGTTAAAACCTACCTTACCGTCCACCTCCTTTGGAATACCTGGTTTTGTCCTCTTAAGAAATGACCGTACGGGCAAAAGAGGTGGTGGTGTAGCGGTATACTTACGTAATGGTATACCCTATAAAAAATTATGTGCTTCTTCATCTGTTTATTCTGGTACAATAGAATACATGTTCTTGGAGATTACCATCAGTGGGACTAAGACTGTTCTCGGTGCAATTTACTGTCCACCAGGAGTTAATTATTTTTGTGACCTTGAATCGGCTCTTTTTTCTATCGGCTCTGATTATCAGCACTTTATTATAATGGGAGACTTCAATACCGATATTCTCTGTAACTCAGCGAGGTCACGTGAATTGTATACAGTTATGAACTCCTTTAATTTGTCACTTCTTCCTCTCGACCCCACACACCACAATCTTGATACTGCTGATTCTTTAATAGATTTAATAGTGGTCGCTTCTGAAGACCATGTCGTTGGCCACGGTCAACTCTCCGCCCCTGGGTTTTCGCAGCACGATTTACTGTATATTTCTTATAGGATTAAATGTCCTAAGGTCAATCATGTGACGGTGCATCTGCGTAATCTAGCGAGACTTAATGTTGAAGAACTTCAGCAAGGTGCTTGTAGTATAGATTGGAGTGATACTTTCAGTGTGGAGAGTGTTGACGAAAAAGTAGCTCTTTTAATTCAAATATACAGAAGTTGTTTGATAAACACGCTCCTCCACACAAAGTCAGACTGAAACGATCTCCTGCGCCGTGGATTACTGAGGATATCCGCAGGGCTATGGCAAAGCGTGATCGAGAATTTAGTAAATATAAGAGTAATCGGTGTACTGCTAACTGGACTCGATTCAAAGCCGCTAGGAATCGGTGTAATCAGATGGTGCGGGCCGCTAAACGCCGTTATATTCATCGAAATATCCTTAACGCTTCTATGGCTGATTCGTGGAAATTTTTAAAATCAATCGGGATAGGTAAACCTGCTTCTAACTTTGATCCTTCAATCTTCTCTGTTAATCAACTTAATACATACTTTTCTACTGCACCACAGCTGCATTCGTCAATTAAATCTACTACTATTGCCCATGTTAATTCTTTTCCAAAATTTTACAAAAGCTCTTTCAATTTTTCTCCCGTTACTGATGAGGATATAAAAAAGTCAATTTCTTCCATCAAGTCCGCCGCAGTAGGCTCTGATGATGTGAGCAGAATCATGATCAATCTCATCCTCGATTATGTCTTACCAGTACTTACCCACATAGTAAATTTTTCATTAAATACTGGGGTTTTTCCTTCACTATGGCGAAATGCTTTTGTTCTCCCACTTCCAAAAATAAATAATCCTAGTTCTGTTTCTCACTTCCGTCCTATCTCTATTCTTCCTTTTTTATCAAAAGTACTTGAAGCTGTTGCTCACAGACAAATTTCTGACTACGTTTTTAAAAATAACTTTTTAAGTAGCTATCAATCAGGTTTCAGGCCAGGACATAGTACAACAACAGCCCTGCTTAAAGTTACGGAAGATTTACGTATAGGTATGGAGGAGTCAAAATTAACTGTGTTAGTCTTAATAGATTTCTCAAACGCTTTTAATGCTGTTGATCATGACATCCTTCTTACAATACTTTCTCACATTGGTTTTTCCTCATCAGCGCGGGAATGGTTCGCATCCTATCTTCAGGGACGTCAGCAGGCTGTTCGCGTGGGTCCAGTTATTTCTGACTGGTGCACGCTGGTTGCTGGCGTTCCTCAAGGCGGAATTCTCTCACCTCTTTTGTTTTCAATTTTTATAAATCTAATTACATCTCACATTCGCTGCACGTACCATCTCTATGCCGATGACTTACAAATATATGCTCAGTCTGATGTTAACGATATCGAAGATGCGATCACTGAGCTAAACTCTGACCTCACTCGTATCTCTGATTGGTCTAGCAAATTCGGTATTACTGTTAACCCTACCAAGTGCCAGGCAATTATAGTTGGAAGTAGCCGTCGCTTATCTGCATTGGATTTTAATTCACTGCCACCTGTAAATTTTAATAATGCTGTCATACCTTATTCAGCTACTGTGAAAAATCTAGGACTTATCATTGACAGCAGTCTAAGTTGGCGGCCGCAAGTCACGGAAGTAAGCAAAAAAGTTATCAACACCTTGCGTTGTCTGTATCGACTCAAGAATTTTCTTCCAGTGAGAACAAAGGTAATGTTGGTTCAAACGCTCGTATTACCAATACTAGATTATGCAGATGTATGCTATGCTGATGCCTCTCAAGAACTTCTTAACAAACTGGATCGTCTTCTCAATAATTGTATTCGCTTTATCTTTGGCTTACGTAAATTCGATCACGTTTCTTCATTCCGTTCTCAGCTCAAATGGCTGCCTCTTCCACTTCGTAGATCTTTTAGAATCCTTTCTATGCTATTCTCTATTTTACACGATCCGTCTGTCCCTGCATATCTGAAATGCATATTTCAGTATCAGGACGATTCTCACAACCGATGTCTCCGTTCCGCGGAAAATCTAACTCTTCATGTTCCTTTCTGTCGCACGGGCTTCTCTTACAATTCTTTCACTTCAAATGCAGTAAGACTCTGGAACATGTTACCCAGAAATATAAAAGAAGCAAAAACTAAACCTATCTTTAAACGTTTGCTCTGGGAATATTATTTAACGAAGCAGCAGTAGTTTCGGATAATAATAAAAAGTTTAAAAAACCTCGGAAACTGTTATATTCTCAAATATGTATAATATAAAAATATCATATTTATTTACTGTGTATGTATTTATTGTGGGTATTTGTGTACAAGTATAAAATACTATTGTATGCATGTAAGTAGTAATGTAAATGTATATGTATGTGTATTGTATTTATTATCATTATATTATAATTTTGTATTTTTTTTTTCCTTAAACCTTTAATTTTTTTTAATTTTTTTTAATTAGGAGTTTTGCACCCATCACTAGATTCTCTGCACAAACCAAAGGTAGACTGGTAGAGAATGCCTTTAGGCATTAAGTCCGCCGTTTTGTACATTTCTTGTATGTGTGCAAATAAAGCTTAAATAAATAAATAAATAAATTAAGCCCCGCAACAACCTAAAGGTGACCACCGTATGTATTTTATAACCATGTCATTGTTTATGGCTATCATTTGTGTCCACACTCAATAATAACCAGTCATAAAGATGGACTGTGCGTTATGAGTAATCACCACCCCCCTGTAATCTTGCTTCAATCATCATTCATTAATTTATTGCAAAAGTCTAGTGCTGAACGTAGTCTCATGGATTGCCTCCTATGGGGAATATTTTCTATGGTTGCCACTCTTATCAGGAATGGTAGGCAAGTTATCAGGAATATCCTCATAATGTGAGGGTTATTACAAGTTGCAGAGACAACTTACTATCAGGTGGAATATGAGCCCGCTTATCAAACAAACCCTCGCTGTCACAATCTTTTCTGAGAACGCTAGTCAAATAAGTGTTTAAATCAAACTGCTCACACGTTAGGCCGGCGCTCCTCGTCGAATTCAATCTTGTCCGGTTGCTTGTAGACAAGGAAGACGTATCGGTGTAGACCGGTGCCTGGTGACGGTCCAGCGCCCACGTATGTTGCGAGGACGTCGCCTTTAGAAACGTCCGATCCAGGAACGTTGCCCACCAGCCAGTGTTGCCATTCACGGTTTCGCGCATCAGGGTCTGGAAGCAGAGAGATGACGAAACATGAAATGAAATACATTTGAAACGAATGGAATAAAATTTATTTATTTCTTCGACGTAAGAAAATAAAATTTTGTTCGTCAAACTTCGTTTCGAAGTGGGGTTCCACTGACGAAAGAAGAAACAGCGAAAGAAATTACGCAGGTATCCTCTTTTTACCATGTGATAGTGATACATATGTTTAATCTTGTTATAGGTTACAGCCTTACGTTCCATAGCTGGGTACGAGGCCCATTGACCTTACATGATCTTTCTTCGATTAATAAAAAAATAAAAGAAATAAGAATGTAGATGCATTGGAAACTAGGCATTTCCACCTTAGTCCTCAAAGTTTGTCACCTTTGAGGACTAAGGTGGAAATGCCTCTTTTCCAGTAGAAAGGGTATCCGTTTCTCTACACTCACTGTTTGAAACAGATCAACATTAAGCTGCTGTTTTACACTGGTATTCTGTGAAAGTGTGGTCCTTCCCCGGTCGAGCTGACCGCTTCACCATAAGATAGCTTTACCACGTAAATCAGCACTTAAAATTGCAATTAATTATTTCATTTATGTCGGCAGGAATGGAATCTGGGCTGCTCACATGTGAAATTTACGACAACCGCTTAGTCCTTGAGCGACCACGGTTTGATCACCTCCATCCGAGAAAGTTACTGCTACACGTACCAATCATAACGATAGTGTAGAAGGCATTCGGCTCAGTGTCCCACGACACAGTGGGCTGATCCTTCGCTTGTGTTGGAGTAATCTCATTGCCTTCCTCCACTTCCACTCCGCTTGGATAGGTTATCTAAAATATAAACCAATTTTAATTTAGTAACACCATATAATATTATCTACTTTATATCTTTGATAACAGACGGCACCACCGTACAAATCTGCAATTTGTACAAACTATTTATTTATTTATTCTTTATTGCATTTCTTACACAAAACAAGACAAACAAGACTTTGATGCCGTGCGGAATTCTCTACTAGTCGACCCATGGAGTGGTGAGAATATGACGTGGGTGTACGTGTATGACATTGATGATTCATGTAAGTAGCGTTGTTTTTAGTAACTGATTATGTACCAACTTTTTAAAAGCAGAATTATTGGGAGCTGGTCATCGGGCAAGGAGTTCGAAAGACGTGTAGCCTGAAATGTGAAGGGGTTATCATAGAATTCGGTGAAATGGAAAGAAATACAGATTTTGTTTTTAGAAGAGAAACGTAGAAACCTATTGTGGGACAAGGATAGATAGTAAAATTTACTCTTAAGATAAGAAGGCGAAGATGGGTTAATCTATATTAAATAAAAATGATTCTATTCTATTCTATGATTATAGCTTTCTAATAAATGTCTAAAAAAATCTACTGTATTTTATCGAAACTCCTGACATTTTCAAAATCCGAGCACAATCTTGACAAGCGCCTAAAACCTGACATGTCAGGTCAAATCCCGGCATATAGTAACCCTACGTATGGTTGAATATTACGAGGCACGAATTGGCGGGTAAAAGCTGAATAGCTTGCTTAGTGTTATTATCACAATATGACAATTATACGTGGTAGAGCCATGCTGCAGCTATATTAGTAGTATAGTAGTTGTAGCACAAATGGGACGTCTCGACCGGGGAAGGACCACGCTCTCACAGAATACCAGCGCAAAATAGCAGCTTAACACTGCTGTATTTCGTATGGTGAATGTAGAAACTGGAGATCCTTTTTACTGAATAATCGCACGCATATGCATTTTGATTCTTTATTAAGGATAGATATAGATGTTTATGGGTCACAGCAACCACTTACCATCAGGTGGACTGTGTGCTCGTTTGTCACTCTAATTCTGTAAAAAAATTACTTTGTCGAAGAATGGATATTTGTGGAATTATCTATTGTTCACTATAATAAAACTCTAACAGGACGTCTTTCTGAACACGCACCACGCAAAAATCTGTAAACCGATTTGGATGGGACCTTAAATAGCAGATAGCTGATGTTATAAGGAGTAACTTAGGCTTCTTTTGGTTTAGGAAAAGAATTAGGGTTCCTCGCAAAAAAATTAATACCCATGAAATCCAATGTAATCCAATCGCAATAATTTCCAACTCTCGGGGAACAACTAGTCCAAAATATAACGATTGGGTATTGCCTTCAACACATATGTTGAATTTTCATAACCATAATAACCCCTTAAAATAGAGGTCAATTAGAAGTAATACTATAATTTTCAAGAGTGTTAATGGCGGATTTCGAATTACGAGTATGATATGTTAGGGCTTTTTCACAAAATAACTTTTACAAACGCCGATAAAGTGCGTCATACCCTATAAAAATAAATTTCGAATGCGTTTTAATGTTCACACAGGATTTGAAAATACCCGATAGTTGTTATAATTATATATGTTACTGTAAAAGCTAGAACTACGGTAAATCCTAAGATTTTCCAGGAAAACCTATGATTTACCAAGTCTTAACGGTAAAAGTCAGAACTGTTCTCCGATCTTTCGGAATCGTTAATTTCGGACTTTTACTAGCATTAACTTAGTAAATGTTAGGTTTTACCTCAAAGACACGTAATGTGTTGAAAAATAATCATGTCTAGAAATGTTCGGCGCATTATCGTACTCGCGGACCGTAGGCAGCATCTTATCCTCCCCTACTCGTGTCACTTCTCTCCGCTCGACACAGCCAGTGGCAGACAAAGTGTAGAATGTCCTCCTATTAGATGGAGTGACGACCTGGTAAGACATGCAGGAAGTCAATGGATGCACTTAACTCAGGACCGTGTCTTTTAGCATTCCTTGAGGGAGGTCTATGTACAGCAGTGGACTTGTGAATGATGATGATGAGAAATTAATGAACAGTAAGCTTAGCCAACGAAGGTATTATGTTTCTGAGAACAAAACAACAAATTGAAATAAAAACTAAAACATTTAAATTCAAATTCAGATAAAATCGAAAATCGAAATAATTAGTTTTAATAAATACATTCGTTGTAACAATAAATGTCTTTTCTTTTTTTCTCTACACAATCGAATAATAATGATAAATAATTAAACAACAATAAAATTCAATGTATAACTTTTATTATATTTTACAAGCTATATTACTTAAATTACTAGTTCTCACATAATTTTTCACCTATTTTTTTATAAGACAATTTGTAGCATCTAACACTTCATCATACATTGAATCCACAACATATTGAACACTTATATTAGCACTAAGATCGTGGATGACATTTTCTTCTTGCTCGTTAAGTTTTTTAGAAAGATATAATCAGATAAGATTTTAATCAGACGATGACCTCGTTTATCTTTATCTCGGCGGATAATGTATGATGATAATGATGATGATTCTTGAGAGCGGTTTCTCTTCCTGTAACATTTCTTTGATTTCGATTGCCGCTCTTCATTAATAGCTATTCTATTTGGTGGTAAATCGTGAAGCTGCTCCTTTCGGTTGTAATAATTTAGTGTAAATTTACCCACATCCTGTGCATAGTAATACGGATTAGTGATAAGAATAGAATCATTGTGTTCCTCAGTGTTGACCATGATCTGCAATTAACAAAAACAAGTATGAAGTCAAAAAAAAAGGTAATGGCGGCTGAATTTCTAAATAGTAAAAAAAATTATTAAACTCACCAATATATATGATATTTGACGAGCGTTGTAATCAACGTGCACTCGCTATGAGAATAAAACAATAATGAAACAATTGAGGGGGAGGGTGGGAGACGCTCTTCAATCCAGGTAAGACACATCATTTTATTTAGTTAGCGGGTGGATGCAAATTAATTAATATCTTTATTGTAATGTTAGGTTTTGGGTCTTAGGTTTTTTTTTTCGTTACGGAATTTCTTGATTCGGTCGCCGCGCTCAAAGCCCTCGATAAAAGCTATGCAAAAGCTTAAAAATATTTATTAGCACTAACCACAATGAAATTAGGCTAAACAAGTTTTATTATTAGAAATTAATCATATAAATGCGGCAATACCATCAGTATCTCGCAAACGCTCTGAATATAATTCTCAATAACTCAACTGGAAGTGGAAGTAGATTTGTTCCCGCAGGATAGAACTGTGAGTATGTAGACGTTAATTTGGTTAAACTAAAAATGTTGTACCTCTCTGGAGAGAATTGGGGTCTTTAGCGGCATGTAGCTTAAGCGAATGCGAGAGCAAGTGACGCAGAAGCCCCAATTCACACCTACAAAGGAGTGCTGATATGCTGCGATGAAACACCATAAGCAGGCATCTGTGACTCCTGCTACCTACGTGACATAAATACGGTTTAGACAAGCGACGTACTAGTGAATGTCAAAGATTTTAACACTGTTTACGTAAATAGATTTTTTTGTAAATGCTTGTGTAAATATTTTTATTTATTGTTTACTTTATTTAGTTATAAGATAAAATAGCTGTATAAGTTTTAGTATATTTCATATTTATATTTAGTATATCATAGAAAATACGTTAATTAACCATTTTGAAAATATATTTAATGAAATAATAATTTACGAAAATGATTACCACTGTACATCGTCGGTGATGTAGGAAAGCAAAAAGATAAAAAGCCATACGGACACTCGCGCGCATCAATAGAGTTTGCTTTAGCTTGCGTGAGTCATTTATATAATTAATAATAATTATCTAGGCTATTGAAACGTGGACAAATAGTCAACATCAAAGAAGTGCAACTTCTGTACGTAGTACTATTATTTATTCTGTGCCTTACAATGTGCTTAGACAAAGCAAGTCCGACTAGTCCTTGACCCTATTTATAAAAAAGCTTCGATGGAAATGGAACTCTGACATTCAGTAAAAAATATCATAACATCCTATCGTATCATTTCATTTTTATTTAAGTAAGTACTCAATATAATAGATGTAGGTGAAGATCCGTTCCTACACATATGACAAAGCTGCCTTTTATTATTGTTGTTTAAAAATTATCATAAAGTCACTCAATGTAGTTAAACCTATGCAAATTTATTCTAATTTTAAAGCACACAAATTATTTTCTAATTCTCAACGGCATCTTTAAACACCAGTCTTCCGAACAACAAAAACTATTACGAGTATATAAGAGTGTAAAAAGCACGATCGTATCAGTTCAAATTACGCAATGAACAATTGTGTCAACCAATTGTTGGGAATCTGACCATGCGTTGCCATAGTTGCCAAAATTTGCAGGCGGAATGGTAGCCGTAATTTTTTTATTTTTTGGTATTATTTGGAAAACGCTGCTGTCCATATTCTGGTTTATTTCCCTCTGTAGCCTCTTAATTCACCCACGGTACGATATCGATCAAGGAACATACTACTCTCTGGCGAGAGTTACTTAAATGAAACATTTGATATTTGATTGACATACCATTTGACTCAGAACCAGTGTTGCCAACTTGTGTTTTTAGAGCTAGATACTCTAAATAAACTTTATCATCATCATAATTACAGCTAATCACACAGTCCACTTCTGAAAATAGGCTTCGACCAAGGAATACCAAAAAGAACGGTCTTGAGCCACCTGCATCCATCGATTTCCTGCATTTCCTACCAGGTCATTACAGATAATAAATGTTAATAAGGATTCATGGAAGCGGGGATAGTGGCAGTAATTGAGTAAGGATAGGAGGTGCTCTTCAAACTAGCTAAGACACAGCATTTTATTATTTTAGCTAAAAATAGATAAATAACTTAATTAGTTAAAATTTGACAAGTGGCAAGCCCGGTTAACGACGCAGCTTCCACAAAGTTAGGCTTCAGTAGTATATCCACTGTTGGTGCGTAACAACGATTAATTTCAGCAGAAACGATTTAACACTACCTACACCGTATATAATATAATAAAAAGTGCTGACTTTCTTGTCTATGCAAATCGTTTTCGATTGCCGTTGAAACTTTCTGAAATAAATCCCTTTGTTGGATATTTAATCCTCGAATGCTTCCTAGGAACAATTCATCTGACATGACGGCTCGTTCTTCCATGTCTTCACAAAGTTTATCATCGTCCTGGGCAATTTTTTCACCAACACATGACATGGGAGCATTTCTGACATCAGTTTTACGCGCAGCATTAAGAGCGGTAGCTTGCGCTGTATAATGTTGAATAATTAGTTCAACATGACCAAATTGTTCTGCGTTGACGTTACCCTCCAACGGGCGAAGATCTCTTTGGCGTCTTCATTTTCGAACAGTAACTCGCCTTTATTGCGAAATGGTATGTGGCATACTATTAAACTGTAATAATATGCTTCTTTGTCACTATTAATTTTATAATAGTGACATTTATCCTATTCTATTAAAAAAAATATCGGGTACGTAATACTGTCGGTTTATTTCTTACACGCATTCTCGTATTTTGCTGCAATCTGATATATCTCACTAGTGTAATTTCTTCATCTCTCAGTTCCGCATCCCCATTGTCATCTGACCATGTCGTGTTAGAGACTGTTTTAAAACGGGCGGCAAATTCCACAAGGTTTAAATTCTTCTAACTGGGTTGGTCGTAATACATAACGGTCGAACATGTTATTGTAAATACTGTTTGCATCATTGTCAAATCTCAGAAGTTCATTCCTCCGGCCTGCAACTAATTACAAACAGTCTTTCGCGGCGATATTGTCAATGGCAAATGGCATAATCTAAATGCGCATTTGGGTGCACTAATCAAGCGTTTATTTAAAATAGTCATTGGTACTGAAAATAATTGTTTCCAAATATCACCCCTTCTCTTAGCATTAGAGACTTACTTACCAACATCTTAAAATTGAGTAGCATTTGAGTATTTAGCCATTATATAAGCTTTCGAATGAAACAAAATATATATTAATAACAAAATACCTATACACTAACCTTCAACAAGGAAGTCGGGGCCACGGGCACGACATCCGGCACCACAGCGTGTTCGGCAAACGACTTCTCGACATTCGCCATTCCTCTAGCAAATAACCTAAAATTGACCATAGCATTGTCTGCTAATAAAAAAACAATTACGCATCTCAAAATTCGCCTCATTGCGAACGGCGGTCACAGACATAAACTGTAAACTAAGGAGTCAGGTCAAACAAGCGATTGACCAACGAATGTAAGGTCCACAGCGCCATCAATATAAATTGCTTTATACTCGAGTGCGTGCACATGAACCGACATTGGTAATCTAAATTATATATTACACATATTATCCCCTAACGATGTTATAAGTGTAGGATATAGCAACTTAAATTATTAGTCAAAGTATAAAGCGTAATTTTCTCATATTTTTTTCAGAATAATATTAGAAATCACGTCATCCGTTGCCAGACATTTAGTGTCGTGGCAACCCCTTGTCACCCTTAAACTTTAATAAATTGTAATTGGTTACAATCCGCCAGAGGCGGAATTCCAGAATATTACTTGTTATTTTTTCCATTTTAAATGACCCCTCTTGGCCTTCTCATCTTAAGAGTAACGTTCTTCTTCTAACAACAAAATCTGTATTCCTGTTCACTTCATCGAGTTCTATGGTAACTCCTTCACAGTTCAGGCTACACGCCTTTGGAACTCCTTGCCCGATGACGTCAGAAAAGCACCCAATAAGTATGCATTTAAAAAATTGGTCCGTAATCATCTATTGAAGATAACACATTTTACGTGATTCATCCATTTAATATGTATTGCTAAACAGGCGCATATATTCTTAGGTATTTGTATGTACTAATTATATATGTATGTAAATATGTATATTTGTATGTATATATTTGTATATACATGCCATATATTTGTATATATGTATGTATACGTCATATATGTATAGTTTATTTATTAGTAAATTGTATGTATTATGTAGTTAATTATTATTTTGTGTAGTGTTATTTTATTCTATATTTCCGCACCTACGTCAAATTCTCACCACTCCATGGGTTGACTGGTAGAGAATGCCCCAAGGCATTAAGTTCACCCTTTGTATTCTTTTGTTTTAAGGAATGCAATAAAGAATAAATAAAAATTGTATTTAAGTTAGGTATAGTATAAAAGCTTAATTTTTTATGTTACTTGGGTAACTATTAGATAATGTTTAATCAGTAGTCCGACAGTTTTGACAGTTCTAACACCTGGCCAGACAAACATAATATAGAGTAGTGAATAATCTAAGGGTAGCTGTAGATGCGCGCGCGAGGAAATATACATCCGAGTGAGATAATTGTACGGATTGATCGAATAATTTTTACATGTTTATTACTAAAAATCATTGTTTTAAAATTATTGACTATAATATAATTTTATAATTGAGTAAAATATACATAAACCTAATAAATTACTAAATAATGTTTTTGATTACTACAAAATTCGACTTTCATTTTTCACTCCGTACGGATAAAGAATGGGATTATAAATGGCGGCTCACCGAACCCGTACCGTCAACATGCATAGTACCAATAGCGAAAACCCGCTAATAACCATATTTTATAATAACGTTATATTATTCGGTTAATTGGAAATTATCTTTTAATGGGAAAATATTTGATAAGAATTGTATACAACAATTGTAACATTTATAACTAGGTTCTGGTTTCGCCTGGGTGGGATATGTTAATGTGGCTTTATTTAAACTTAAGAAAATCATTAAATACCATTTATGTAACCTTATTGATACTTCTATTTTAATAAAACCTTCAAATAATTCGGATAAAATTTTGCCTACGTCACTCCTGGTATTATTCTCTATTTGTTCATGAAATTTTACAGATAGACAGACAAACGAAATTTTTAAAAATCGTTACTCATGTCTCAATGACATTGTACATATTTTATAATAAAATATTCACAAACAAAATCAAAAATAATTCTGAAGAAAACTCCCAAAACACGTCTAGCTTACAAATTGAACAGACGATATGAGAAAAAATGGACTGATTTTTTTTGTACTTAGTTTATGGTATTTTGTTAACATTGATGTTAGTGACAAGTTACACAGAGGGTTTAGGAAGTACGAAAAACGCATATTTTTCTGTTTCTTTTTAATTTTCTGTATCAACGATTTTTTAGAACTTTTATATTCAGTATTTTGTACGTGGTAGAACCATGCTGCAGCTATATTTTGTAGTATAGTTGTAGCACGAATGGGAAAAAGACTGTGTACTCGTTTCATCGTCACCCTACCCTATAAAAAAATATTGCAAGCTTAGGGTGATAAGGATATATAAGTTATATATATCCTTATCACCCTATATATATATATATATATATATATATATATATATATATATATATATATATATATATATATATATATATATGCACCTAGTAAGAAAGATACAGCAACAATGGAATCGCAATTAGAAAATCGTCGTCATTATTCGCTGGCAGAATGTCTACACTCAATGGCTAACGTCTCTCAACTGACCCTTGTTATTCTAGTGTTGCCCAAATGCAAGAACAAGACGAGACTTAGCCAGTCTTGGTCTTGGTCTTGCGCCCATACACCTGGTCTTGTTCTTGGTCTTGGTATTGCGCTCTCAGTCTTGTTCTTGGTCTTGGTCTTGCAGCAAGAGTCTCGCAAGCCTATTGCTATTTATTAAACGTTACTTTAGATCTTAGAACAACTTAACACAGTAGGCACATTTTGAGCTTGAATTAACATAGCCATAGAAAGACCAACCAAATTAATAAATGTCTAAACATTTAATGAGAAATTCGAAAAATAAACTAATACCGGGTGGGGTTTGAACCCACGACCTAAGCGATCCGTGCCTATGCTCTAACCAACTGAGCTATCTACCATGTCTCACGGCCACGGGAGTCAGTTACTCTGTTTCTTAATATACGTTTACATTTAATAAGCTTACATGTGCTAAAACTTAATCAAAACATATAAAAAACAAATTAATGACATTAACTTGACTGTATTATAAAGAACATTATCTGTCTAGAAAGATATTGATAGACCCTTATATGAAATGGAATAAAAGAGTTGTACAATTTACCACTTATTTAAATAAAAAAATAAAATACAATACAAATTAAATTACATAACAGTACACAACAGCTTTGACATTACTGTTACTTTATATTAATTCTTTTGACCAAGAATTAATACAAAGTAACCATCTGGCTGACTCATGACTTAACCTATTTCTATGTTTTCTAATTACTAATGATGCTTTGGAAAATAATCTCTCAGCAGGTACTGAAGTTGCAGGTATTGAAAGAAAATCACGGGCTGTCTCATGCGTCCTCCACCACTCTAAAATGTCTTCCGAACTGGCGGCTCTGGGTTTACTTAGGTACTCCTCCAACTCGTCTATAACTAAGCCTTGATGAAAAGATCCAGATCCAGATGACGTCGAGGGACATGCATACAGTTTCTCAAAGTCTATTATGTCTTCATCTTCATCATATTCACATACTTTCTTTTCGTTTCTTGGTGATTCTAGAGATGTATTCACTGAGTGTAGACTTTTATATTCTTTATAAAGTTCATAAAATTTGCGCAGGCTTTCTGTTTTAATTTGCTTCCCCCATAATGTCATATCAAAAGTCTGAGTTTTATGCCTTGGGTCTAAAATTAAAGAGGTACAATAAATCCAGTTGCTCTTTTTATAATGGAAAGATATTAGATCTTTTTATAGTGGAAAGATATTAGATGCTTCCTTAAGCCTGAAGTGTTTCTGTTTTTCATTTTTATTTCAACCTTTTTATGTTGGCATAATTTACGCAAAGCAATTTGAGATGCATGAATTATGTCGAAAAACTCATCAAATTTGCTTTTAGGTCTTTTAGATCTATAACTCCAACTCTCACTACTCCGACTAGAACTATTCGACTCTTCGTCACTCATGTCAAATTGTAAACTTATCACTCCGAGAACAACAAGGATTAGAGTAAAAACAATTAATACATTAGACTCGAAGCAAAGCTCAATTGGGAATGACTGGAATTAAAATAAATACTACTATTTGTAAGTACACGCCGAAAGACCGACAAAGGAAAGTTCGGCATTCTTTGATAAAAATAACGATTCTTCAGAAGATTAATAAAGTAGATGCGTTGCCAGATAGGTATAGTGTGCCTACGTAAAAATGAAATGTAAATATGTAAATAAAATTGTGTATATTATGTTCTTCTTGTGATTGAATCAATCTACGTTAATTACATTAAATTTGCCTTCACTCGTTTGAAATTCAAAATTCAAATATGTTTTATTCAATTAGGCATTAAAAATACACTTTTGAATAGTCATATAATCACTGTTTTCCCAGGGGTTCTGATTCTACTGAGAAGAATCATGGAAGAAAGTAAGAAACTCAGTAGTTGCTCTTTTCAAAATATTTTTACAATAGTACTATAATTATGTAAAGCAATAAGTCAAACATAAAATGTCAAATGTATATGTAGGTACCAAATCGGTTTAGAAATTTCCAGTTAGTCCTGTGTAGTACGAGAGGTCAATTCCAAGCATTTTTGTCTGACTTAAATTGAAAAGGTGAAAGATCTAACATTTTTTTTGGAATCTTATTATACAAGCGTATATCGCTACCCAAGAACGCATTATATACTTTGTGTAACCGGAAAGCAGGTATTGTGATTTTATTTTTATTTCTACTAGGAAAATTGTGCAAATCACTATTATTTACATCAATTCGATGCAATCAATTTCTTTAAACGGTTCTCTAAGAGATACTCGGGCTCCTAAAAAGTACATAGATCTTATTTTAAGTTTTTATTTAATATTCACACTTTTTATATTATTCGATTAGCATTGTACAAAATGTTTACACGTTTCAAGTGTGTTAAAAGTGTCTACAATATTTATCAGATGGGTGACGACATATTCGAACTTTGTGTTCAAAAACACACACTTCCAAAAATCGAGATTTGCAGTGAACTTATTGAACATGTTTATCTATTAGGTAATAATAATAATATTAAGTAATTATTATAAACCCATATAGTTAATATTATAATAATTACTTACTAGAATAAATTACTATGGTATCTACCTATCCTTACCATTATCTAATTACAATATTCCTTGC